GTGCGTCGGGGCTGCCCATTTCTCGCGCGGTAAACAAAACCACCAGGGCTCCTTAGGTTCTCCACTCTTCTTCGAAACGTAATCGCGAACTTCTAGCCATGGCGCATCAATGGGTCCAGTGTCAGGGTCCATGATGACGGTTTCTGGACATGGGCCAGGCCTCCCTGCGCTGGCCCCCATTTCTGACATGGCAGCCTGCAGGCGCTGCAAGAAATGCCTTGAGCCGAGGTGCATGCGCTACAGGAAAGCTGGGTGATCTGATAAATGGAACCAAGAGGGGTCCAGGAGGCTATTTCGTGGGTTCCCGAGGGGCAGGGCGAGTTGAGGGATCCCCCTTCGTTGATCGATTTTCCTCACACGGTAGAGCTCCCAGGGAGCTCTAACATGGTATTTTAGAGCTTCAGGGAGCTCGAACAAGCTATGTTAGATCTCCCTGGGGGCTCTAACATAGGATGTTAGAGCTCCCGTGGAGCTCTAACCTGCTATGCTAGAGCTCCCGTGGAACTCTGCCATGGCATGTTCGATCCCCCATGGAGCTCTAACATGCCATGTTAGAGCTCCCACGGAGCTGTAACATACGATGTTAGAGCCCCCCCAGGGAGCTCTAACATACTCTAACATGCCATGTTAGAGCTCCGTGAGAGCTCTAACATAATATATTAGAGCTCCCTGGGAGCTATAACATGCCATGTTAGAGCCCCCTGGAGCTGTAACATACCATGTTAGAGCCCCCTGGGAGCTCTAACCTACCCGCCGCCGCCGCCGCCGCCCCTTAACCGCTTTACAATCGATTGCGCAACGGTTAAGGCCCCCCCCCTCTCGCCAGGGGGGGCCTTAACCGTTGCGCAATCGATTGTGAAACGGTCGAGCGCCGCAGCCGCCGCCGCCGCCGCCGCCGCCGCTCCGCAACCGCCTAACCGTTTCACAATCGATTGCGCAACGGTTAAGACCCCCCTCTCGCCAGGGGGGCCGCAACCGTTGCGCAATCGATTGTCAAACGGTTAAGCGCTCCGCCGCCGCCGCCGCTGCCGCCGCCCCTCAACCGTTTCACAATCGATTGCGAAGCGGTTAAGGCCCCCCCCTCTCGCCAGGGGGGGTCTCAACCGTTGCGCGATCGATTGCGCAGCGGTTAAGGCCCCCCCCCCTCTCGCCAGGGGGGGCCTTAACCGTTGCGCGATCGATTGTGAAACGGTGAAGCCCCCCCCTGGCGAGAGGAGGTGGTCTTAACCGTTGCGCGATCGATCGAATCCTGGTTGAGACCCTCTATTTCGCTGGTTAAGGCGCCCCCCCCCTGGGCATCGATCGCGGAACGGTTAGGGCCCCCTTATCGCGAGGGGGGGGGGGTCTTAGCCAGGATTCGATCGATCGCGCAGCGGTTAAGACCCCCTCGAGGATCCTCTCGCCAAGGGGGGGCCTTAACCGTTGCGCAAACGATTGCGACACGGTTAAGCCCCCCCCCCCCGGCGAGAGGGGGGGGGCCTTGGCCGTTTCACAATCGATCGCGCAACGGTTAAGACCCCCCCCCTGGCGAGAGGGGGGGTCTTAACCGTTGCGCAATCGATTGTGAAACGGTTAAGGGGCGGCGGCGGCGGCGGCGGCGGGTTAGAGCTCCCAGGGAGCTCTAACAGGGCAAGTTAGAATATGTTAGAGCTCCCTGGGAGCTCCAACATGGCATGTTAGAGCTCCGTGGGAGCTCTAACATGGCATGTTAGAGCTCCCTGGGAGCTGAACCATGTAATGTAAGAGCCCCCAGGGAACTCCCTGGCACCTCTAACCTAGCATGTTAGACCTCCCAGGGAGCTCTAACATGGCATGATAGAGCTCCAGGGAGCTCTAACATGTTATGGTGGCACTCCCAGGGAGCTTCCAGGGAACTCCCTGGCACCTCTAACCTAGCATATTAGACCTCACAGGGAGCTCTAACATGGCATGATAGAGGCCCAGGAAGTTCTAACATCTTATGTTGGCACTCCCAGGGAGCTCTAACATCGCATGTTAGAGTATGTTAGAGCTCCCTGGGAGCTCTAACATCGTATGTTAGAGCTCCATTAGAGCTCCAATGGAGCTGTAACATAGCATGTTAGATTATGTTAGAGCTCCCTGGGAGCTCGAACATCGTATGTTGGAGCTCCGTGGGAGCTCTAACACGGCGGCGGCGGCGGCGGCGGGTAGGTTAGAGCGACCAGGGAGCTCCCTGGGAGCTCTAACATACCGAGCTCCAACGGAGCTCTAACATAGCATGTTAGAGTATGTTAGAGCTCCCTGGGAGCTCTAACATGGTATGTTAGAGCTCCGTGGGAGCTCTAACATGCTCCAACATGCTATGTTCGAGCTCCCAGGAAGTTCTAACATGGCTTGTTACGGTGGGACGACGAAATGTTGCGAGTTGCTCCTGAATGCGCGCGGCTGCACTTACATTGCGGCGCCACCTCGACGAACAATCCCCGCCCCCTACATCTCAATGTTGGCGCCAAGCGAGCACCCCAAGTCTGGGTGGACACAATAACGCAAGTCAACATTGAAATGTGGGGATGGGGGGGTCCTCAGAGATCGATGGAATCTGATCCTAATTGGCACGCTGTTCATCATAATGCTCAGATAACTTGCGATATTTTGTCCACCGACTGCGTTTATCATCGCCCTGCAGGGTGAAGGCTGACGTGGAGGGTAGAGGATGCGGAGAATTGGGGAAAGGATGAGGGCGAGGAGGATCAAGGATAAAAGTTTGACGTTCGATCGAAGGCCGACTACCGAGGTTCAAACAAGGATAGAAGATCGACGTTCGAGGTTCCATCGATAGCAGCGGTTGCATTGGAGGAGGGGTAGGAGGAGAAGGAGGAGGAGGAAGAGGAGGAGGGAGCGGAGGAGGAGGAGGAAGAAGAGGAGGGACAAGACGCTTTTCGAGGTTTTGGGGGGAGTGGGGAGGTTGAGAGAGGAATGGGAAGAACCAGGGAGTTTTCAGAGGAGTGCGGAGTGATGTGGAGGAATGGGAGGCATTTGGAGGTTCTGGGAGGAATGCGGAGGTTTAGTGAGGAATGGGAAAGGGTCTAGAGGTTCTGGGGGAATGCGGAGGGATCTGGAGGTTTCAGGAGGAGTGCGGAGGCTGTGGGAGGAATGGGGGGGCCCAGAGGTTTTGGGAGGGGTGCGGAGCTTGTGAGAGGACTGGGAGGGACCCGGAAGATTTGGAGGAGAGCGGAGGTTCAGGGAGGAGGGGGAGGAGAAGGAGGAGAAGGAGGAGGAGGAGGAGTGGGAGGGAGAGGAGGAGGAGGAGGAGGAGGAGGAGGATGAGGAGGAGGAGGAGGAGAGAACAAAGGAGGAGGAGGAAGAAGAGGAGGGACGACACGCTTTTCGAGGTTTTGGGGGGGTGGGGAGGTTGAGAGAGGAATGGGGAGAACCAGGAAGCTTTCAGAGGAGTGCGGAGTGATGTGGGGGAATGGGAGGGGTTTGAAGTTTTTGGGGGAAATGCGGAGGTTGAGTGAGGAATGGGAAAGGGTCTGGAGGTTCTGGGGGGATGCGGAGGGATCTGGAGGTTTCGGGAGGAGTGCGGAGGTTGAAGGGGAATCGGGGGGCCCAGAGGTTTTGAAAGGGATACGGAGGTTGTGAGAGGGCTGGGAGGGGCCCGGAAGATTTGGAGGAGAGCGGAGGTTCAGGGAGGAATGGAAGGTTCCCAAAGGTTTTCGGTAGAGTGCGGAGGGGTGCATGGAAAGGAATGGGAGGGGTCTGGAGGTCTTGGGAGGAGTGCGGATGGGTGTGGAAGAATGGGAAGGGATTGGAGGTTTTGGGAGGACCGCGGAAGGATCGGAGGGACCCACAGGTTTTGGGAGGGGTGCGGAGGTTGTGAGAGGAATGGGAGGGACCTGGAGGCTTTGGGAGAAGAGCGGCGGTTTAGAAGGAATGGGAGGTTCCGCGAAGCGGATGTTTTTGGTATAAGGGTAATGGAGGTGGTCTGTAGGTCTTGGGAGGAGTGCGGGGGGGCGTGGAGGAATGGGAAGGTCTGGATTTGTTGGGAAGAGTGCGGAAGGGTGTGGAAGGACCCGTAGGGTTTGGGAAGGGTGCGGAGGTGGTGAGAGGGAGGATCTGGAGGTTTTGGGAGGAAGCCGGAAATTGAAGGAGGAATGCAAGGATCCCGGAAGTCTTTGCCAGAGTGGCGCGGGGTGGAGAAGAATGGGAGCGGTCGGGAGGTGTTGGGAGGAGTGCGGAACGGTGGGCGTGGAGGAATGAGATGGCCTGGAGGTCGTGGGAGGAGGGCGGGGTGTGTGGAGGAATGAGAGGGTCTGCAAGTTTTGAAAGGAGTGCGAAGGTTTAGGATAGATTGGGGGGGGGGTCTGGGGATTCTGGGGGAGTGCGGAAGACTCATCAAATCAGCACATGGCCCCCGGACGATTGTCGGGCCTTGTGGGGCCTCTTGGAAACCCTTCGTCGCCACGGCTGGATGCGCCTCGAAACAGGGACAACCACGCGGAAGATGGCGATTACGGCGGCGATGGTGGCGCATTCAGACCACGGGTGATGCAGGGTGCGTTCGGGCCCCGGGCGGCCACCGTGCTGTCGGGCGCCGCCCACCGACGGGCAGAGATGGGGGGGGCGGAAGTGAGGGGCACGAGGATGACGATGATGAGGGCGACGGAGGGGGGCGAAGAGTTTTCTGGACATGCGACCCCCCAGCAAAACCAATAATGCACCCCAACTGCTGGCGCGTAGCCGTGATGTGAAGAGCGCGCCCGACGTTGCTCAACTTGCTTTGTCAATCGCGTGCCGACTGGTGTCCCCTACAAAAATGTTTGTTTGACACAGTCATGCGAAAAGGAGGCCAAAGCCACAAGTGGCATCTAATGTAAAAAGCGGCTGGACCAGGTGACGCGTCACAATAACGAGAACAGTGCGCCCCACGTCTGTAAACTTGCCCCATGCGTCCCGTGCCGACTGGTTCCCCTAAACAAATGGTTGTCTGAAACAATCACAGTGCGAAGAGAAGGCCCACACAGGATGCGACACCTAATTCAAGAGGCAGCTGGGCCAGGCAACGGTGGCAAAGGCAGCACAACCTTGCGCGGCTGCGCCTCCTCGCGGGCTGTTGGCTGCCGCGGGGGCCTGTTCCCATAATACGTAGAACCCGTGACCAGCCACCGCGCAAAACTCTCCGAGCACTTAGGCACGGTCCTGAAATCAGCCTCTTTCAGCTTGCCCTTCGCCTCAAATTGGACGACTCTGGCCTGCATGTGGCGGATTTCCTCCTGCGGCACAACGTCGCTCGGCATCCACAAGCCCTTCTTTTTCGCAGTCATGGCAGCCCCGCGCTTCCAGATCGTGTCCGGCTGGCCGTTGTTGAAGCATTGGCTGACTTGGACTTGAAACTTCTGGCCACAAAACATCGCCAGGAAGTCCGTGACTGGCACTGTGGGGCTTCTCTCTGCCATGGAAGCGTACTCCACAGGCCTGTAGTCGTCAAAGAAAATGAACCGACGCTGTGGGCCGACCAGCTTGGCCAGGGGGCAGAAGGCGCCCAATTTGGGCTTCGTGAAAACGCCGTCCTCCCCAAAAAGAGTCAGCACCGGCTCCAAGACCGTGCTCTTGCCGGCGTTGCGCGGCCCAACGATGAGAGGCACGCGCGCCGTCTTGCTCGGGCCTTCCTTGATGATCTTCACCAAGCACGCCGCCAAGTAGTCCCTGTCGACCCCCGGGTTCCTGTCGAAGAAGGCCACGGCTGCCGCCCACCACTCGCAGCCCGCCTCGCCGCAACCGCACGTGCACGCAGCCTTCCGCAGGATGAGGTCCCAGTCGCTCTCGTCGTCCTCCTCGGCCCTCTCCGACGCCCCCTCCCATTCCAGAGCTTCCTCGATTAGCTCGGCCAACTTCCGCTGGTTGCGGGCGACGTAGTTCTGCATGGCCAGGGAGCCCTTCTTCTGCGCGTACGTCATCACCTTGCGAGGCGTCAGCAACTTGTCGGTCGCGACAAGGGCGTACAAGTCCAGCTTCCCGAAGATCTCCTTGGACTTCTTTGCGCTGCGTTCAAAGACCTGGTCGCCCGGCGCCATCGCCGCCTGCTCCCGCCTGCGCTTGTGCATCTTCGCACCCCAGCCCTCGCTGCCCATCTCGTAGAGGTTGGGCGCCGAGCCGTCTTTCGCCCAGACGTCGGGGCTGCGGTCGACCGACTTCTTCCTGTCACTGGTGCGCGTCAGGTAGCGCACGGCGCTCCAGAGCTCTGTGTGCGAGGTGCTCCAGTGAGAGGCGAGCTTCGACCGCTGCCGGAGCGCAGTCTTTATTGGCAGGAAGCGAGTCTCGTGCGACAGTTTCACTGCCTGGTGGTAGTGCACCTTCCCGTCCTGGTGCTTCTCCTGGACGGTGAGCAGGAAGATGACCTCCAACGCCCTGGTCCGCGGGCGCCCCCCCTGGCTGCCGGCGGCGGGGGCGAGGTTGGCCACCGCGTCTAGGAGCGCCTTCCGGAAGAACTCCCTGTCGTCCATGTCGGCTGGGTTCGCCATATCCGCGTCCTCGGGCGCGTTGAGCAGGGCGGAGTAGGTCACCAGGAAGACGTGGCTTCGCGCCTGCTCGTTCTCCTCCTCCTTGACCCAGTCGGCGTCCGACTCGGCGTCGGGCTCGTCGGCAGCAGCGTCGCCCTCGCTGTCGCTGCCGCCGCTGGAGCTGGAGTCTGAGCCGCGGCCGTCGGCTGGCAGCGCCGCCGCGGGCTGGGCCCTGGGCGCGGCCTCGAGCAGGGGCGCGGGCGCGTCCTCCGGCTGGGCCACGGGCGACCCCTCGGGCCGGGCCGCGGGCGCGCCCTGCCGGGCTTCCACCGCCGCGATGGCGGTCGCGCGGCGGCAAGGAGAACCGAGGGCGAGCGCGCGAGCTCGAGCCAAACCGCCACTGGACCGATGGGGTTCACAACTCGCTGGTCTCTGAGCTGGACCCAGCTGGGCTGACCTGGACTCACCTGCGCCGGGCTGACCTGAACGGCACTGCACTATATTGAGCTCACGGGGGCTGGGGCGCGCAGAACGGTGCTCGGCCGCGCTGGGCTGCCTCCGCTGCGCAAGCAAAGCAAAACCAGATCTTCGGCTTCGCCTGCGCCGGGCGAGAAGCGCCGAGCCCGCGTCGGGTCTGGCCCGCGCCCGAGCCGATCACCAGCCGCGACGAGGACGCGCGCGCGGCCCGCGCTGCGATTGCAGCGCCAGGCGCGCCCTGGGCTGCGCTGGGCACTGCCCAGGCAACATGGCGAGCGTCGCCCGTCGCGGGGACGCGGCCGCGCAGCGGGGCAAGGCGCGCCAGGCGACGACGGGCTGGCAGGGCGCGCGCAGCGCCCGCATCTGGCCTATTTGAATACTCCCCGAATATTTGAATACTATTTGAATACCTATTTGAATACCTATTTGAATACCTATTTAAAAACTTCACTTATATGGGGGGACCGACGTTTGATGTTTATGGTAGAAAGAAAAAATACATCCTTTTTAATTCCACGATTCGCTCGTAGCAAATCCAAATCCCCATATGAGTGGAGTTTTCAAATAGGTATTCAAATCGGTATTCAAATAGGTATGCAAATAGCACTGGAGTTTTCAAATACGGAAAATGCAGGCGCGGCGGCCGCGCCGCCAGCCTGTCGCGCCAGCTGCGCAGAGCAGGCCACGCGCCGGCGTCGCCCAGGCAGAGCCTGGCGCGCCGAGCCCGCGCAGGCTCGCGCAAGTCCGCCGCGCGGCCCAGGGGCGGCCGCTCGCGCCCGGGCCCGACCCGAGCGCGGCCCCAGCGAGGGCCTGGAGCCGGCTGGAAGGAGGTCCATGTCACTCAGCAACCAACTCATGCCCTTCGGGGGCCCACGGCGGTGGGGCCGACAGGCCGAGCAACCCAGCGCCAAGATCGGCAGGGGGGGCCCGCGACAAACTGCTTCTCTCGGGAAGGCCAGAACAAAGCGCACGTCAAGATCGGCTGCCTGTCGGGAAAATACAACTCAAGAAATTCTAGACGCTTCGCGTATCCCCACCAGCCCGTCCAGAAATGAGCCCCAGGGGAGTGGAGGTGATGAGGGAAGCGGGGGAGCATGCAGAAGAACAAAGAGCGGGTTGAGCCGCCATACGCCCCAAGAGGGGGAGGATGTAGGAGGAGTCGTCGTCGTCGGAGTAGGAGGAGGAAGACGAGGAGCAGGAGGAGGAGCAGGAGGAGGAGGGAGGAGGAGGAGGAGGAGGAGGAGGAGGAAGATGAGGAGGAGGAGATGGAGGAGGGCGAGGACGAGGAGGACGAGAAGGAGGAGGAGGAGGAGGAGAAGGAGGAGGCGGAGGAGGGGGAGGGGGAGGAGGGAGGAGGGAGAAAAAGAGGAGGAGGAGGAGGACAATGGCGAGCTTGGGGGCCTCTTGGGCCGTCTTTGGGGCCTCTTGGCGGTCCCGGAGGCCTCTTGCGTATCTCGGGGAGCTTCTTGTGGCCTTTTGGGAGTCTCTTGGAGGCCTCTTGGAGGCCTCTTGGGGGCCTCTTGGGGCCTCTTGGGGCGCTCTTGGGGCGCTCTTGGGGCGCTCTTGGGAGCTTTCGAGGCGCTCTTGGGGCCATCTTGGAGGAGATCTATCAAAGAAGGGGGGGTCCTCAATTAGCGCTGCCCCTCTAGAGTGCCTCGAATCGCTTCTTGGGCCCTTCTTGAGGCCAAAATCTTTCCAAAACCTAGGTAAAATCAATGTTTTGTGTTTTCTCGCCTTTTCGCTCTTGGAGCCGTCTTGGGCCGTCTTGGGAGCCTCTTGGGCCTCTTGGAGGTCTCTTGGGAGCCTTTTGGAGGCCTCTTGGGCGCCTCTTGGGGCCTCTTGGGGCGCTCTTGGGGCGCTCTTGGGGCGCTCTTGGGAGCCTTCGGGGCGCTCTTGGGGCCATCTTGGAGGAGATCGATCAAAGAAGAGGGGGTCCCCAATTAGCGTTGCCCCTCTAGAGTGCCTCGAGTCGCCTCTTGGGCCCCCCAAGAGGCCAAAATCCTTCCAAAACCTAGGTAAAATCATTGTTTGTTGCTTTCTCGCCTTTTCGCTCTTGGAGCCGTCTTGGGCCATCTTGAACTCTCTTGGGGCCTCTTGGGGGTCTCTTGGCAGCCTCTTAGAGGCTTCTTGGGGGCCTCTTGGGGTCTCTCGGGGCCCTCTTGGGGCGCTCTTGGGGCGCTCTTGGGAGCCTTCGGGGCGCTCTTGGGGCCATCTTGGAGGGGATCTATCAAAGAAGGGGGGGGGCTCCAATTAGGGTTGCCCCTCTAGAGTGCCTCGAAGCGCCTCTTGGGCCCCCCCAAGAGGCCAAAATCCTTCCAAAACCTAGGTAGAATCAATGTTTTGTGCTTTCTCGCTTTTTCGCTCTTGGAGCCGTCTTGAGCCATCTTGGGCGCCCTGACACCTCGCGAGACGCCTCGTCCAGGTCAGTGGGGAGGGGTAAGGGGAGGGGTAAACCCCTCCCCGAAGGGAAAGAAGGGGGGTTGGCAGGGTTGGCAGAGGAAACGCTCTAGACCACCTACGCCCTAAAGGGCTGGTGGGGGGCCCGCGACAAACTGCTTCTCTCGGGAAGGCCAAAACAAAGCGCACGTCAAGATCGGCTGCCTGTCGGGAAAATACAACTCAAGAAATTGCCACCATCTGGCTGTTGGGCGGCTGGCCCGAAGTCCTGGCGCCCCGCCTTGGCGACTGGGCACGAACTTCGCGCGCTCCCCGCGCTCTCGGCGGCGGGCAGCCGGCGGGGGGCCGAACGTTCGCGGCGTCGGCAGCCGCGAGGGCCGCCCGGGCCATCACTCCTCGAAGTCTTTCCCCTTCGCCCGCTGGAGGGCCTTGCAGCGCCGGCCCATGGACTTCACCAGAGGCGTCAAGATGGCCTCGGGCACGCGCTGGATGGTCCTCTTGAGGCGCGCCACGAACTGGGCCCTGGTTTCCTTCTTAGCAGACGAGTAGGTGGCCTCCTGCTTGCGGAGGCGGCGGTTGACGCAGTCCCAGAAGCCGCAATCCAACGGGTTGATGTCTGGCGAGCGCTTCGGAAAAGGCAGCACCTCGATAGAATGATCGACTTTGGTCTGCACTGCACTCTTGGACTTGTGCCCCGAGGGGTCGTTGTCCTCCAAAACCAGGAAGAGCGTCTTGCCGGAGTACGCACGGCGCAGCGCTGGCGACAAGGACTTCGATCGTCGACGCCTCCGCGGCGTTCCACTGCTTGGGGACTACGTGGCACATGAGAACCTTCTTCGCGGAGATGGCGACGGCCACGTTGACGCCCTTGCCAAAGGTGACCTTCAACGATCTACGCGGCTTCACGTGGCCCTTCGCCAAACCCTTGCCCTTGGCGCGGTAAGTGCCGCGAGCAGCCCTCCTGGCCGCATATGCACGGCCCTGTCCATTCGGGTAGAACGGGAACATCTTGTTATCCAAATGCGCATGGATCCCACTCACCCAGAAGCTGGGGGGCTTCTTGGCGTGCCGATTACCAAAGGCCAGCTGGTCCTTCTCGTCGTCGACGGTGCGAATGGGCTTCTCGCGCATGGGGCGGAAGCGTACCCCGCGGCTGCGCAGCGCCTCCTGAACCCGCTTGACCGAACACTTCAGCTCCAGGGCCTGGGCGCGCAAAAACCCCGCGCCGAATCGCATCGGGCGCGAACCGTCGATCGAGGATCCGACGCGCCCCGCGCGATCGCAATGAGACCAGTCGATCGGGGATCGCAGGCGCGGGAAAATAGGACCTCGAACGCGAGCGACGGCGACCAAACGGAATAGCATGGCACTCCAGAGTAGCGTCGGAGATCCGCGGCACCAAACTGAGACCCGAGCGTTTCGAACCATCAAGGCCGTGACCTGGTACTTGCCGTCGGCAGCCACAACCATGGCCTCGGTGGTCTCGACCACCTTGTCCACCTGGGTCGCCGACAGTGCAGGTGGCCGCCCTGCAGGGTTCGGTGCCGAATCTCCTTGCAGATTGCGTTGGAAGTGGCGGTGCACGTTGGATAAATCTCGGCCCATCAATGTAGCGATTTCGGCCGGCTGCTTCCCCTGCCCCTGGAGACTCTTCAAACGGGAATGCTCCTCAGCGGAGAAGTGGGGCATGGTTCCAACAGAAATGCGCTTGGGCGAGAGCCCCTCCTACAATCGCAACCTGCGCCCTGCCTCGGGCCCGAGCGGCTGCGACGTGAATCTCTCGACCAGCTGGACGCGCAATCGAAGCGCTGGGCCGGCTCACGCGCTGCCATTATATCGGCGACACTATTGCTCCACAGTGAGGGCATCCGCAATTAGGGCATCCCGTTTTTGGATGCCCTTACGGACATGTGGGGGTCCATTTATTGGATCCCCCATTCGCGATTGCCGCGTCGGCCGCCGCGCCAGTGGTTGGTGCCCCCGTCGGGCGCGCCAAGGCCCAGCGCGGGCGCCCAAACTTTGGGCCCCCCACGCTCCGCAGTCTTGCGACTTCGGAATGCCGCGCTGGACTTTGACCTCTCAGCCGCTGAAATTGCCGCGGCAGGGGGATCCAAAACAGGATCCCCCTCGTTCCGACCCGTCGCTCCGAAACGAAACTGGCTTGGGCCGCGCAAAGATCCCGCTGCTGCTGGTCTGGGCAAAACCCAGCGACGAGAAGGCTCATTCGCAGACCGGCCCTGTCGTCCGCGACAACGCTGGTTTGGGCAAACACCAGCGACCAGGAACGAGGATGACCAGAAAGTCGGGTCACGTGCTTTCGCTGGCGCCGCAGGGCACCAATTCCACCGCTGCGCTAACTCAGGGTGACCGGCTGGCTCGCGGACGGCCAAGTTGACAGCTCCCTTGGCTGCTTCGCTGGCCGCCAAATTGACAACCTTCTTGGCTGCCTCGTCGGCTGCCGTGCTGACAGCCTTGTTGGCTGCCTCTTTAGCTGCCTTGTGGGCTGCCTTGTCGGCTGCCTCGTTGTCTGCCTCGTCGGCTGCGTGCCCACTACCAGTCTTCTTGGCTGCCTCGCTGACGGCCAAGTTGAAAACCTTTCTGGCTGGCTCGTTGGCTGCATTACTGACAGCCTTGTTGGTAGCCCCGTCAACTGCATCGCTGACTGTCTACTTGATAGCCTTGGTGGCTGCCTCGTCGGCAGCCTCGTCGGCTACCTTCTTGGCTGCCTTGTTGGCTGCCTTGTTACCTGCCTTGTTAGCTGCCTCTTTCGCTGCCTTGTTGGCTGCCTCGTTGGCTGTTTTTGTTGGCTGCCTCGTTGGTTGCCTCGTTGGCTGCGTCGTTGACTACCTTGCTGGCTGCCTGGTTGGCTGCCTTGTTGGCGGCCTTGTTGGCTGCCTCGCCGGTTGCCTCGCTGGCTGCTTCGTTGGCGCACTTGGCTGCCTTGTTTGCTGCCTCGTGTGCTGCTTCGTTGGCTGCCTTGTTGGCTGCCTTGTCGGCTGCCTCATTGGCTGCCTTGTTGGCTGCCTTATTGGCTGCCTCGTTGGATGCCTTGTTGGTCGCCTCGTTGGTTGCCTTGTTGACTGCCTCGTTGGCTGCCTTCTTGGCAGTCTTGCTGGCTGCCTCGTTGGATGCCTAGTTGGCTGCATCGCTGGCTGCCGCGTGGGCTGCCTCGGAAAGGCCAGAAAATATGTTGTTTGATTCGCGGGTCGAGAGCGCACCTCTCCCGGTCGAGACTAAGCGGGCCGCGCGAAGCCTGAACTAACAAAGAGGGGGGGACAGAGGGAGAGGCCTCACGTCAAAGCCAGGAGGAGACAAAGCCTCGGGATCAGGCGGTGCCGAAGACGATGTGCTTGCAAGGCCAGGAAATACAATCGGAGGACACGAAGACTTCCCCGCGAGCCCAAAGAGAGCAAACGCACGTTCTACTCTGGAAGCTCCACAACGTTGCACCGTAGCCAGGGGTAGCGCATTGACTCGTTGCCGGCTGTCTGGTAGGGATGGGAACTGCGGCTGATGAGGTGTTTGATTGTTAGATGCACGTGCACGTCGAGTCACATAAAAGTCTGTACTTCCATCGGTGGGACGACGAAATTTTGCAAGTTGCTCCTGAATGCGCGCGGCTGCACTTACATTGCGGCGCCACCTCGACGAACACTCTCCGCCCCCTACATCTCAATGTTGGCGCCAAGCGAGCACCCCTAATTGGCACGCTGTTCATCATAATGCTCAGATAACTTGCGATATTTGGTCCACCGACTGTAGAGCTCTCACGGAGCTCTAACATAGCAGGTTAGAGTATGTTAGAGCTCACTGGGAGCTCTAACATGGTATGTTAGAGCTCCGTGGGAGCTCTAACATGGCATGTTAGAGCTCCCGGCCTCCTCGTTGGAAGCGGCCCCCTCGACTGGCTGGGATTAGGGCTGGTTTAGGTTGATGTGTTTGATGCGTTTTTGATGTGATTATGGTCTTTCCTGTTGTTTGATGTTTTTTTGATTGTGATTATGACGATGTCCTGTTTTTCTGATTGTGTTGATGACGATGCTTATGACGATGATAATGATAATTTCGAATGGCAACTATCCGATCGTATATATACAATCAACATCATCCCCATCACCATCATCACCATCATCCATCACCATCATCACCATCATCATCGTCATCACGACGACGACGACGACGACGATGGCGGGGGGACGGCATGCGGACGTGCCCAATGGGACGACGACGACGACGACGGCGGGGGGGACGGCTCGATGGGAGCTCTAACATGCTATGTTAAGAGGTTCCATCGAGTATGGGAGGCAACTCTAACATGCTGTTAACATCGCAAGCTAGAGTCTGTTGGAGCTCCTTGGGAGTTCTAACACCGTATGTTAGAACTCCGTGAGACCTCTAACATGTCATGTTATATATAGCTCCCTGGGAGCTGAACCATGTGATGTAAGAGCTCCCAGGGACCCCCCTGGCACCTCGAACCTTGCATGTTAGACCTCCCAGGGAGCTCTAACATTGAATGTTAGAGCTCCAACGGAGCTCTAACATAGCACGTTAGATTATATTAGAGCTCCCTGGGAGCTCTAACATGGTATGTTAGAGCTCCAGTGGAGCTCTAACATACATAGCATGTTAGATCATGGTAGAGCCCCAATGGAGCTCTAACATCGTATGTTAGAGCTCCGTGGGAGCTCTAACAAGATATGTTAGAACTCCGTGGACGCACGAAGTCAGCGCCTGAAATCATTATAGCAACACCTGCTCCCAAAACGAAGTAGTCGAGGACCGAGCTCGAGGTGGGGCTCCGACAGGTGGGCGCTGTGGGGGCCATAAGGAGCATACCCAATTCGCGAACAAATCCAGAGCCTTCCAAAACTTCAGGAGCCACATTCCAGCCCCCTGCGCCGCGTCCGCGCGGCGAAAGAGCCAGCGCGCGAGCCAGGCTGCGCGCCCCCGACATCGGCTACCAGACGCCCATGCGAGGTCACTTGTCCTGCTGCTGAGCTCACTGGTGCTGCTGTTTGTCCTTCTGCTTGAGCTCCTCCACTTTCTGATCGAGCTCCTCGACTTTCTTCTGCAGGTTGCCCTGTGCCCGCATGAGAGCCGCGAGCATCTGCCCCTGTGCCCGCAGGAGAGCCAGAATCTCATCCATCTTCTCGTCCTTGTTCTGCGCGTTGGTCAAGAAATTGAGCATCGTGGTGATAAAAGGTGGTTAGCCCGTCCTGCTGCTGCTACTGCGGAAGCTTCTGCTGCCACTGCTGTGCTCCTGCTGTGTCAGCTCCTGCTGTTGCAGCTCCTGATGACGCAGCTCTTGAGCTGTTCCAGTTTTTCCAATTGTTCTTCTCTCCTGCAGCCGTTCCAGCTTCTTGCTGGTGGCCTTCACTTTGCCATTGCTCTCCTCTGCCCTCTCTGGCCTTGACCTTGGCCTTCTTCGTCGACCTCCAGTCCTCCGCTTCATCGTCTTCCCGCTTCTGGACGTAGCTCGAGTGGAGCTCCACAGTGCTCATGATGGTAGAGCACCATGCGGTATTGTCCTCATCAGAACCCTGTGGACATGCATCATGGAACCAGCGATGCTTATTCTTTACATTCTTGATGTGGTCCTGCGAAATCTGGTGCGCCGGGGCCGCCCATTTGTCGCACGGTGAACAAAACCACCAGGGCTCAGTGGGTCCTCCACTCGTCTTCGAAACGTACCCCTTAACTTGTAGCCATGGAGCATCAATGCGTCCAGTGTCAGGGTCCATGATGACGGTTTCTGGACATGGGCCAGGAGGCCCCCCTGCGCTGCCACACATTTCTGGCATGGCAGCCTGCAGGCGCTGCAAGAAATGCCTTGAGCCGAGGTGCTTGCGCTACAGGAAAGCTGGGTGTGCTCTACTACTGCAGCGGCTGTCGCAGCGGCTGTCGCAGCGGCTGTCGCAGCGGCTGTTGCAGCGGCTGTTGCAGCGGCTGTTGCAGCGGCTGTTGCAGCGTACTGGCGATTCTGTCACTTCTGCATCGCAGCCTCAGTCGTCCCAGAGGTGAGGTCGAAACGGGAGATCGTCCTCACGCTCGCCAGTTTCTGGGTTGAGCTCTACTACTGTTGCAGCGGCTGTTGCAGCGGCTGTTGCAGCGGCTGTTGCAGCGGCTGTTGCAGCGTACTGGCGATTATGTCACTTCTGCATCGCAGCCTCAGTCGTCCCAGAGGTGAGGTCGAAACGGGAGATCGTCCTCACGCTCGCCAGTTTCTGGGTTGAGCTCTACTACTGCAGCGGCTGTTGCAGCGGCTGTTGCAGCGTACTGGCGATTCTGTCACTTCTGCATCGCAGCCTCAGTCGTCCCCACCACGTACCACGTCTGGGTAGTGGCCACTGCACGCACAAGACAGCGGAGCTGGGCAGCTTCGCAAATGGCGCTCATAATGTCCTACAGACATATAGGAAGCTGTATGCGCAGTGCCTGGCCGCAAGCCCCTGCTGCGACGCGACCTTGTTGTCAGCGCGGGGGAAGTGCGCGATCACATGCTTCTCAACCTCTCCGCATTGTTTGTCGGGGAAGGACGCGACCACTTGCATCTCATCGTAGCTGAGCTTGTGCCCGCGCGTGAAGCTTCGGTCGTTTCCTCG